GGCCTGCACATTATATGGACCGGCCCGGCCTGCACATTATATGGACCAGCCCGGCCTGCACATTATATGGACCAGCCCGGCCTGCACATTATATGGACCGGCCCGGCCTGCACATTATATGGACCAGCCCGGCCTACACATTAAGCACATTATATGGACCGGCCCAGCCTGCACATTATATGGACCGGCCCGGTCGTGACAACGCAGCGTGTTAACGTCATATCTGGAAGATGTCTGTGAATTCCAGCTAAATGTCAGACGTTGGTTATCACGAGCGAATGCTCCACAAGCAGACGTTGGGGAGTAATTTATTTATTACATGTGGTCCCGAGGTAAAACTAATCCCGTGCGAATAGGGATTAGTAGTCTACTTTTTTACAGGTGCTATGTGAATTTGCATTGCTATTAAATGAACACATATACTCATAAAATAAATAGTTGTATATATTAAATAATTAGAAAGCTGACTAATAGCCCTCTCCATATTGTATTAAAGTGGCACATTCATTTTTTTGTTTTGTGACACCATCTTGGGCCATGAAAAACACAGATTTACCTTCACAAAGCATCTGGTCAGTGCTACACTGCTGCAGGCAGACAGATACCAGCAGTACCACAGCCATGTCCCTGAAGCAGCGCTGAACTCCACCATGGAGGTGTAGCCACTGCTGAACAAGAACAAGATGGAAACTGAACTGGCTCTCATCCACAGCACCGAAGAGTTGAAGAGCTGCAGTGGTGCTGTGGCTCTGCTGAAGATCCTCATCACAACTCCTATGACCACAGCTGAATCTGAGAGGTGCTTCTCAACACTGAGGAGAATAAAGACCTTCCTCAGGAACACGTTGTCACAGGATCATCTCAGTGCATTGGCCATGCTCTCTAACCATCCCTGACTTCAACCAGACTCACTGAGAAATGTGATTCTCTAAAGGACAGAAGGGCAAAATTAATGGACAAAAAGTAGAACACTACATGACATTAGAATGTTGCTTTTTCATTCTTTTAAATACACTGTTGCGATACCTTCCTATATGTTTTGGTATACAGTAGTCCCTCGTTTATCACGGGGAATCTGCACCCTGACGCCCCGCAATAAGTGAAAAACCGTGAAGTAGGAATAGTAGTACAAGTAGTAAGTAGTAGTTTATTTTAGTAATTATAATATATATATATACAGTATATATACTGTATATATACTGTATATATATATATATATATATATATACATATACATAAAGGTGTTTTAAGCCCTTCCCACACTCTTGCAATATTCTAAACAATGTTTCTAAACTCTAACGCTCTAAAAGACACAGCATGTCATGAACTCAGCTCTCAGCCACCTGCAAGTGCTCTTGGCCACGCCCACTTCTCAGCTCTGCGCAGAACAGCTGATCAGCTGCAGCAGGAAGTTTCTCCTGCAGTATGTGCTGAACAAAGGTGCAGCAGGTGCTAAATAATTTAAAACAATTTATTTTACATAAAAGTACCATGCTGATCGTGCGGCTCATCCACCAGTCAGCCAATTGTGTCATGTCCAATCTTATTTAGAAAAAAACACACGATAGAGCGAGTCCGCGATAAATGAACAACCAAGTAGCGCGGGACTGCTGTGTGTTTGGGAGTTATAGCCCCGCCCCTGGGTCTGAGTCATGACG